TTGGGGTGATCATTTCGCCTGACAGTCATAGGGTAGTGCCGAAAACCAATTCAGCTGCACTACAGCCCAGATCCGACTTCAGAGCTGCGCGGATGCCGAGGAGTGCAAGAGGAAGGTTGTCCGACCAGTTTCCTGGGTCTTCGGCGGCACACAGGGCGGTCTTAAGCTGACGATGGAAACGTTCCACCATATTGTTGGCAGCTGGGTGGTAGGCTGTCGTCCGAATGCGTGTGCCGCGAAGGAAATTGAGTAGCGTTTAGAAAAGTGCCGACTCAAACTGGGCACCACGATCAGTCGTAACCGTGGATGGGACACCGAACACGGCGACCCAACGACTGACGAAGGCCTTCACGATGGTTTCAGCCTGCACATTCGGCAAAGGAATAGCTTCAGCCCAGCGAGTATATCGATGATCACAGGTAAGGAGGTGGGTGAAAACATTGGACGGAGGCAAGGGGCCTACGACATCCAGGTGCACATGGCTGAACCGCGCGTCGGGACTGGGGAAAGTGCCTGGTGGGGACTTGTGACGCTGCACCTTGTTGCGCTGGCAGCTCAGACACGACGGAGCCCAAGCTTTGACGTCCTTGTTCATGCCAGGCCAGACAAACCTTTCCGCAAGGAGCTTTTGAGAGGCTCGGATCCCAGGGTGGAAGAATCCATGCAAAGTTTGGAATACAGCTCGACGCATCGAGGCGGGCACGAAAGGGCGATGAACGGGAGTTGAGACGTCACAAAGTATGGTACCAGACCCGGTGGTCAGAGGAACGTCTTTGAGTAGGAGACCACTAATAGACTCGTCGCCAGAACAACCGACTTGCTGTTGCTCAGCCGCCATGGTACAAAGATCAATCCCTTGTGTGAGTTGGAGGGAAGACAGTGAGGGTCTGGACAGCATATCAGCCACCTCATTCTTCGTGCCATCAATGTGGCGGATGTCGGTGGTGAATTGGGAGATGTAGTCCAGGTGAGCGATTTCCCTCGGATTGTACTTGCCGAAGTGGGAACGAAGCGCAAAAGTCCACAGTTTGTGGTCAGTGAAAACAGTGAAGTCACGACCTTTAAGGAAATGCCGGAAATGCTTCACAGCCAGGTAAATGGCAAGTAGTTCACGGCCAAAGGCACGGTAGCGTGTCTCAGCTGGTAAGAGCTTTTTGGAGAAAAAGGCAAGTGGTTGAGTTGAACCAGCAAGGTGTTGTTAAAGGACCGCACCTACGGCTACGGTCGAAGCATCTACCATCAGGGACAACTGAGTTTCGGGAGCGGGATGCGTGCGTAGGGTGGCGCCGGCAAGGGAAATCTTGATTCTTTCAAAAGCAATCAGTGCTTCACCAGTCAGCTCGAGCGGGCCTTTGGGACCAGAAAGCATGTTGGTGAGCGGCTGTGTGAGGTCAGCACAGTTCGGTAGGAACTGACGGTAAAAATTAACCATGCCGAGGAATCGCTGCAATTGACGCTTGGAAGTTGGTGGAGGGAAATTACGAACTGCTTCAACCTTTGAGAGGAGGAGACGCAAACCTCCAGAGTCGACCTGATGGCCGAGGAACTCGAGCGAAGGCACACCCAACACGCACTTGGATGGGTTAATGACAACGCCAAACTTGTCAAGACGGTCAAACACCAAGGCAAGATGCTCTTTGTGTTCTTCCTCGTTTCGGCTAGCAACCGAGAGGTCATCATTGTAGGCGTACACAAAGGATAGGCCACGTAAGACATGGTCGATGAATCTCTGGAACGTTTGGGCGGCATTGCGAAGACCGAAGGGCATGCGGACGAACTCAAAGAGACCGAAGGGTGTGGTGACGACGGTTTTAGGGATGTCCTCAGGGGCGAATGGAATCTGATGAAAAGCACGCACCAGATCAATCTTCGACAAGACCGCTTTGCCGAAAAGGGCTCTAGCAAAGTCCTGAAGATGAGGCACGGGGTACCGATCAGGAAAGGTAACGCTGTTGAGGGCACGATAGTCGTCACAGGGTCGCCAGTCGCCTGATGTTGCCCTGGGCACCATGTGCAGTGGGAACGCCCAAGGGCTCTCGGACGGTCGAATTATTCCCAGTTGCAGCATGTGTTCAAACTCCGCCTTCGCGGTGCTAGTGGTCTCGGTCGAGCAAACACGGGAGGACCTGAGGTGCGGACATGGTGCACAACATCATGTTGAACCTCACCACTGCGAAACTGAGGGTTAATTATGTTGGGGTGACTAAACAGCAGCTGCCGAAAAGGACTAGCAATATCCGTATCCAAGACAGATTAGTTGGTGGGGGCAGAAAAGGGAGTTAGTCCACGAACAAACAGACCGGTTGTGCGGTCCAGGAGACGGTCACGTCGGCAGTCAACAAGGAGATCGAACTCGGCAAGAAAGTCCGAGCTGAGGACTGCATGAGGGACATCAGCAATCACAAAGATCCAAGTAAATTACCGACGAAGGCCAATGTTCAGGGTGAGGGACAGATTACCGAAAGTGGGAATGGAGGAACAGTTGACAGCTTGGAGGTGAAGACTAGGGCCAGGAAAACGACGATCAGGTGCAGTTGGGGGAACAACGCTGATTTGGGCTCCAGTGTTCACCAGGAAACGTCTGCGAGTCGCGGTGTCGCAAACATAGAAGGTGCGACCAGATTTAGAGCTTTCGAGAAGATTGGCTGCACTGACGTTCGGGTTGACCGGTTTTACCCGTTTGCTCTGTTTGGAGGTGAAGGAGCAGGGAGAGATGCAGCGACAGGCTTTAACACCAAAGTTGGTGTGATACCAGCAGATGGCAGCTGCGTTTGGATGGGCTGAATGTGAAGACTGGAGATGCGGGGTGGACGGCTTCGGTTGGCTCCGAAATGAGGGGGAGACTGTCTGCTTCTGGAGTGAGACTATATCATCGGCCAGCCTGCTGAGCTCGATCTCCAACTGTGAAAGGGGAGACGTAGGATGAGTTGAGGGAGTTGAGAGTGCTGAAAGTGACGGCTTGGAAAAGCCGTGCATCTCCATAAGACGATCAGCCATCTGAGTAAGTTGCGTTGCCGAAAAAATGCCGGAGGCGGGTGCCAAAATATGCCGCACTTCCGGTGGAAAGTTGTCCATGATCAACGCCTGGCTTTATCGTAGATTAGGAAGAAACATTACTGGTTGCAAAGGGGTCACCAATTGTTGAATGTTGTGTGGTCGACAAGATAAAG